TTTTCCGCATTTCTCTTACTTAACCTTTGGATTTTATTCTGTAATTTGGAATGTAAAAAGATGTCTCTACCAGGATTCGAACCCGGCATCTGTTAGTTTCCAGCACAGCACTTCCATACTGGGCCACAAACATCTCTGAAGGAACACTGTCTTTTTTAATACTTAACCCTTGGGTTTGAATTTATAACTTGATATTTTAAAAAGGTGTCAACGCTGGGATTCGAACCTGCATCCCACATTTTAAAGGCACGGCACTTTCTCGCTAAGCCACAAACATCTCTGAAAGCACACAGGCTTTTTCTTATACTTAACCCTTAGGATTACATTCCTCAGCTAAAAAAAAAAAGCGGTCTCTTCCGGTATTCGAACTTCCGAACTCGGCGCCACTACACTGAGCCACAAACATTTTTGAAAGAGCACCGACCTTTTTTAGACGTAACCTTTAGGATTGAATTTATCAATTGCAATGTAAAGATGGATATTCGTCCGGAATTCAAACCCATCATTTCAGACTCGAAGTATTTCCACAATATGCCACGGACACCACTGAATGAGTACTGATTTTTTGAATACTTTACCCAAAAGGTAATAACGGATTCCAGCACATTATTTTTTTCAGACTTCAAAATTACGCCACAATTTTGTGAAAGCGCAGAATTTTATTAAAACGTTTTTGTTTCCTTTTATTTCAACGAAATTAAAAGATGCCCGTCTGAGGGTTCCAACGCATTATTTCAGACATTGAAATGTTTAGCACTGCCGCGCCATAAGCCAATTTTGCTTCTTAATTAACCTTCAGATTTTAGAAAGGGAATTAAATGTGTTCCATACGAATTCAATAAGGATACAGAATTTCCAGTGTCCGCTAGAAATAACTTTGTAAATTTTTTATCTATAAACGACGCACACAAAAATGTCTTTGCTGACGTCACCATCAGCTAACAGGAAAAACCGAGGGAAAAATACTTCCACTTAAACGCAAAATAATATTGTTACATGTTGGGCGTGTGATGCGGTAACAATGGTTCACATATCCACAAGGGACGAAAAGAGATTTTACATTGGCATTTATAAAAAATATGTCCCAACAGGAGAAGACTAATTGGACATTTGAAACGGTAATATGTTTGCTAATAAAATATGATATATTAATACAAACTTAAAACAATGTAGTGAACACGGAAAAACAGTACAAACACAAGCATCTTCTGATCACATACCGGTAGTATTGTATTTTTACTTTTTTCATAAAGGAATCCTTATGTGCTTGCCGGTATTCTTTTAAGATCGGACGGGAGAATGACTGGTAATTCCCGAAGAGAAGATGGACATTAACAACATCAAGGTTCTCATGAACACGAACGTTAAAGCCGGCCAAGTGGCGGACTGTCGACAAATAAAATTGGCTCAAAACAAAGGGCACTTTATACAAATACAGATAAAGGACTAAGAAAATTATCTTAGTACAAGTACTCATTACTCTCTTTACAAGTGAGGGTGCAATTCAACGACCAATCAGAATTCGGGAGATTCAAATTTGCTTGAAGATAAATTTCCTGTCAATCAATAGTTGCTCTTTTAGTGTTCAACAGCAGTGAAGGCCCGTCTGTATAGGGAAAACCACGCCCTTTTCTGGTTTTCCCGAGCCTCTCAACCACTAGATTTTACTCAAATTCATGC